ACTACTTCATCTTATGGTGAAAGATGGGAGGTCCTTTTGCAAAAACTGGTTGAAGGACATTCATTGAGCAAGTGTCACTCAGCTAGCCCAGGGAAGACTACGCGTGAGGCTGTGGCACAGAGGCCCGGGCACTGGTGCTCTGAAGGCATTCAGCCTCTGCTCTGTTTGGGGCGGAAGAGGGTACTGTGGGGTGTCCTGAGAGCCCTGGCTGGCAGGTGTGGGGCCCAAGGCAGAAAGAGGAAAGCCCATGCAGTGGCAGAGAGGTGGCCAAGGCATGTGCCCAGCAGGGCAGAGCCGGCAGAGGGAGGGGATGGCCGCACACTGCTGCCCTCAGCCAGCCACACACTCACCCAGGCCACCCAGGCCACCCTGCCCCTCACACCCATCCTCTGCACCGCACAGGACATGAAGATGCTGGGGCCCCGGGGCGCAGCCACACGCCCTGAGCAGGAAGATGTGGAGCCAGATAATATTTAACTAAAGATCTGGGCAGCATCACCAAAATGTCCACAAAGGTGGCAGGATAGCCCCTCCAGGGGCCAGTGGGAATGAGGCAGTGAGGGAGATGGGACAGCAGGGCCAGGACCAGCGCTCCCTGGGGGCTGCTGGCTGCTCTTCCTGCTCAGATCCTCTTCTGCTGCTGCATGACGCCATCGGGACTGTAATCCCCAATTTTAGAGAATGAGGCTACGGCCCAGAGAAGTCAGTCCACTGAATTTGCACAGCTAATGAATGCAAGGGGGTGGCTCAAAGCCAGGCTCATCAGCCCCCATCCATTCTCTTTCCATCGCCCACACTGACAAAAAAGGCCTTCAGTGGGTGGGTCTAACGCACCGCGGACCCTTGGAAACAGTCAGCGGGAGCGCCACTTCTTTCATGGTCGCTCTGAGTGTCTAGTAAAAATACGCAGGAACATGAAGGACAGGCAGCTGAGAAAAACCAAGCGAGACCCCAAACTGCACAAATGAGTCCCCAAATGCCAGGAATGCCTGGTGATTGGATCGCTCCAGGGGGCTGAGGACAGTGTCTTGGCTGGTGGTGGCCGCAGGTGAGACTCTGCACCTTAGTGCTCCTGAGGTGGGGCTGGACAGTCCCTGACTTAAGCCCTCAGTCAGCTATGGTGGTACCTGCTGAGGAGGTGAGGGAGGACGTGGGAGCCCGAGGGGCAGAGCCGGAGGGGCAGAGCCGTAGCACTGCCTGCCGTGGCGGATGCGAAGGGCTTCCGTGGGTGGTGGCTCAGGCAGAGCCGGTCTGACTTACTCCTGGCACAGAGACAGGGCTTCTCTTCTTTAGTGAAAACAGCCGGTGTTCATGGACATGTGGCTGTCTTCTCTCAGGAGGATGGACCTGGATGTCCCCTCTGGGACAAAGGCCCTGGCAGTCTTCAGAAAAAGGCCAAGGTGCTCTGAGGCACTGCGATGGGCGCAGCCTGGAGCCCAGCTCCTGCAGGCCGAGAGCGAGGTCACACACAGTGGGAGGAGGCAGCCCTGAGGCCAGGGGCCTGGCGGTGACCAAGGTGCGTGGAGACCCCGCAGGGCCACCAGAGCTGCTGCCCGGAGTCTGCGCTTCACAGACCTTTAGAAAATGTAGCCAAGAACAGAAATGGAAACAAAGCACTGTTTGGGGTTATTTTCTCTTTAATGTGGGGTCAGGACCTTCCTGATTGACAGACGCCATTCCAGAGGAGCCCAGCAGGGCGGTGAGTGGCCCCTCCCTCCTCAGGCTGGTGCTTGGGAGGCCACAGCAGGGGGCCAGGCCTGGCTGAGTGCAGGGCACCCAGGGAGGAGAGGACCCCTGTGTGTGGGGGGAGGTTACCAAGGAAGGAGCCGTGCAGAGTCCTTTTCCTTACCCCATGGGTGTCCTGATTGTTTTCAACTTCCAAAAAATGCAAAATAAGTTCCTATGTCGCTGTGCTTTTGGAACCACTTAAAAAGTTCAAAAGTAAAATTTCAATATTTAGAAAGTAAAATTAGTGAACGACTCTTAGGACACATTACTTTTTTATTTGTTAAAAATCATTGTGTGGAATTTTCTGTGGAATTCTAAGGTGTGGGGGTATTTTACATACATTTTTCAATATTACTTCATTTAGTTGAGCTATAATTTACTCTCTGCTAGTACTCCCACTTATAATACCCTTATGGAAATTCACCTGTGAGACTTTGAAGTTCACTCACTAATTAGATAATAAGTAAACTCTCAATTATTTAGCTCCAATTTTATTTTTAGTGTAAAAAGGCATTTATTTATTTTGATAACTCCCTTTCTTGGGGAATTCCATGGCTAAACCTTCTATATCTTCTGGTCTCATCAATGGAAACCCCCCCCCCATCAATATTGATTGCTTTGAAGAGAGTACATCAAACTGCCCGTGCCAGAAATGACCACATTTTGGCGCACATTTGTCGTGGCTTCTTCGCTGGCCAGCTTCTTTGTGCGGCAGGCATCAGCAGTTCTCAGAGACACCAGCATGAATTTTCAAAACACCCTCTTCCTTCACAGCTGGAGAAAACCCACCATGCGGAAACCTTTCTGATCACACAATTCTAGCACTTTCTCGTCTAAAAAGGCAGAGGGAGCATTCGCAAGAGCCACAGCAACATGGCAGGCAGTGACTAGGAAATGATGCTGTCCACTCCTGGAATATCAAAACAGCAGGCACAGGACAAGGGGGGCATGTGCACCCACGAGGGGTGCCCCAGCCCAGGACATTCCAACAGGGAATACATGCCCAGAGCAAGCGCAGACATTCTGCCCATTGATTTTGTTTCCTTTTAATTGTGGGGGGGGTCACCCTACCACTTGGCCAGGGCTGAGAGGCGCTTTAATGTTCCTTGTGGGAGGATCTCCTCTGCTCTGATCTGTCCCTTCACCTAATGGGCCCACTGCCTAATCTTCAGGAATGAGAATATGCCGAGAGGGCCATCTGACGGCAGTGGCCCCTCCTCTGGTGCAGGGTCTGGGGTGTGTCTGAATAAGAGAGAGCAAGTTTTCCTCCACATGGAACACAGTAGCCTCTGCTTACTCCCAAGTGGCCTTGGAACCTGATTCTGCCCGGTGGTCCTCCTGTGCTGCTGTCTTCAGACTTGAGGGTCACTCTTGCAGACATGACCCCCACGCAGGCACCTGGTGGTCGCTTCCACTTGCCCACCTGCTCTGTTTGAAGCCTCTCAAACAGTGAAGCCATCAGGGGTTTAATTACTTGATTTCTCCTGGCTTCTGTCCGTTAGGAGAGGTGCATGGATGAAACTTTCCTGTCACCAAACAACGTTAAGGAGTACGTTGTTTTGGCTCCATCACGTCTCTAGCTGGTCCTCGCCTCAGTCATTGGGTGGCAGTGAGAACACCCAGGTGACCACCTCAGCATGGCTTGTACTTGGGCCGTGGAGTGCTCCAGTAAAGACGCAGCAGGAAAACACCTATCACCCCCAACTCGCTCAACCTGCCGATTGTAATCATTAAAAGCAGGGAAGACTTTAGAAACCAGTGCCTAATCACTCTAGGGGCTACGCTGGAGCAAGCATCGATTTCAGTAAAATTTGGTGAGATTCAACCCTTTTCTTCAACTTGCCTGGGTCCAGGGACTTCAAGGAAGACGTGGCAGGTTCTGTGGTCTCAAGTCAGGATGGTGGGGGTTGGGCTGCTCTGGTGACCATGGCAATCAGAGGGACTTGAAAAGGAGAAGGCGATTTCCATGGAGACGCAGGCTAGCTCAGAGGCTGGCTGGCCTGGGAAAGGAGGAGAGTACATTTGGACAGATGAAGGTTTAACCCTGAAGGAGCAGAAGCTGGAGGCCTGGATGGCCTGTGGGAGCAGGTGGGAGCAAGGATACCTCGATTCCACATGGGAACTGGAAGAGGCAAGTGGACACCGCGTGGAGATGACCCACAGGCTGCTCAGTGTGGGAACATTCTCCTAATACAGGCAGGACACAAAACCCAGAAGCCACAAAAAAGACTGATAAAGTTGATGACATTTTTTTTCTTGCTAACAATAACAACTTGGAAGGAAAGCAAAACCCGAGCTGGTTGTGATAGATTGGGCATAGGAATTTTATCTTTCTTAATATATAAAAATATATTTCACAAATTCATAACAGAAGAGTCTGCGGCCACATAGAAAATAGTAAAGGATGTGATTCACTCTAGAGGACACAAGTGGCTTGTGAACATCTGAGAAGTCGTTCGACTACTCAGCTCAGAAATGAGAATGAAAACCTCGGGAGGATCTTCTCGTCGCTTGGCAAAGATCAAAGTTGGGAAAAGGCGTTCTGTTGATGGGGATATGAGGAAATGGCGCTCAGATCAGACTGGAAGGTAATGCAGTGTCTTTGGGGTGAACTTCAGGTTCTCATAAAGCATGTGCAGTCAAAGCACATGCCCCTAAACCTCCATGTTTTGAGTTTGTCTTCTGGATAATTAGACGTGGCGCACCAGAGTGCACTCGAGTTTGTTGGGAGTCACCTTGGCTCCAAGGACTAACTTCCCCATCCCCCAAGAAGAGCCATCCAATGGTGAGCCCTGCTGGCTCACATGATCCTTACCCACCAATCAGA